GTGGAATCCGTGCTGGCACCGACAGGGCTGTTGCAGGCTCTGTGTGGGAGCCCAGAGGAGCTCGCTGCTCTGCGTGGGAACAGAGGAGTCAAGCGGGATCCCGCATACACGCCGGGGGACGGACACATCAACTGCAGAGCCGGGAAACTGATGGCTGAATAGGGCAGTCAGCAGAAAAGAGCACACCGAGGAGAACGTGAAGAGGGACGTGGGGAGCGGGAGGGGGGTGCCGGCGGCGAGGGAGACCCCTCCGCAGGCGGAAAGGGGCAGGACCACTTCCGGCCCGGGAGGGGAGCGGGCGGCTCAGACCTCAGGACAGGCTGGGAGGGAGCAGACGCCTTCTGGACTCGGAGGGACGAGGTGAGCTAAGGTGCCCAGCGTTAGTGAAAACTGGGGCGCCCTGCGCTCTGCAGTTTTCACCTGCTTCACTCCTCAGGCTACCTTCATCCAAGTGTGGGTCCCTTCCACCTGTAGCTTCGATGTGCTTGATTCCATATGCTGCTAAGTTTTGAAGAAAACCTTAAGGTTGTGATGAAATGCTAAAATAATAATAATAATAATGTGTAATAAAGAAATAGTGATAAAAATAGTCTGCGACTCATAGAGTTGTTTTGTGGTCTTGTCAAAATGGGGTCCTTTAGGAAAGAGTTTTAATCTTACTAGTTTTCCTGCCTAGCACCTAGCATGCGGTTGGGCACAGAGTATGTGCTCAAGAAATTTTAAAATTTATAAAAGTGTAGTTGTAGTGGTAGTGGTAGTAGTAATAGTAGTAGCAATAGCAGTAATAGTCCATATATTATTAATTATTGAGACTTTCCTAGTACTGAGGCATGCTACCTTACTCTGTTTTCAGCCACTAGCCTATAGGGGGCCTATATAACAAAAGGTTTAAGAGGCTTACCTTTAGTTGGTGTTCCTATCCAGTTCAGATATCGGGTGAGCTTCGAAGAGATGTAAGTCTTTCCTCGAGCGGGTAAACCCACCATAATCACCATTGTGGGGGAATTGGTAAACTGGGGTATGGTTGCTGGAAGACAAACAGAGCCTCAAAAGCTTATCCCCAGATTCACACAATCTCCTGGTATCAGCTCAGGGATGTAGAATTGGAAGGACCTTCTCTCCCACCTTTATAACTACATAAAACCCCCTGGAAATTGCTACTTGACTACTCTTGAATTCATCAGAATACTGAGATTGCAGTGCAAACAGCTAACCCAAAATCTGTAGAGTCAAGCATCTGCAGGGAGCAACAGTGCCCAGATATTTATCTTTCATAGATACAACTGAACAACATATAAACTCATAAGAAATTCAGCTAAAATGGTTAAGGAATTGCTAAATGTTAGCTGTGGGCTAGTGTAAGAATGTGTAGACCCTGGGGTGCAGACATAGGTGGTTTTGCATAGTCTTGTAGACTTCCCTTAGGAATTCCACCAAGTGCTGACAGGGAAGACTGAGAAGAACCCGAGAAAGATATCCTGTTCTGGCTTGGGTTGGGAAACAAAACTACAGCCATTGCTGAACTTTTCCCCAGCCCATTCTCCCTACATACCCTATGGAACAAAAAGTCTTAATCATCACAGGGAAAGTCAATAAAACCGTAGCTTGAGAGCACTGGTGGAAATTCAGTGAAGCTGGTAGAGAGGAGTGGCCAACACCACTGAAACTCTGCCCAGACCAAACTTCTCTATCTCTGCTAAGGAAAATAAGCCTCAATCTTCAGAGGGAAGGGCAACACGAACTGAGGGCACTGGTGGAAACTCAATACAGCTGGAGAAGAAAAATGGGAAAAATTTTCTAATCTAGGAAGAGTAGGAATACGTAGTAAGCCCACCATTATATTTAGAGGGGGGGCAGGAACACTTGGGAAGGTTACACTTCCAAGACTTAGGACAAGCCTGTCTAAGACTTAGGCTTAATCGGAATAGCATAGAATGTCCTTAGTCCCCTATTACCCACTACCAGGCTAAAAAATCAAGTAAAATAATAATGGACTATATCTTTAAAGGATGCAAGAAATAAATTGTCTCCAGAGAAAAGCACAAAGGGAAGAATCAAGGCAAGAAGATAACAAATCTTCTGAAGATACAAATCATCAGGACCAGACTGATTTATAACACACATGTTGGAATTATCAGGGAATTTAAAATAGCTATGACTACTATGTTAAAGGCTTTATTGGAAAGGTAGACAACATGCAAGATCAGAAAGGTAATTTCATTAGGGGAATGAAAAGTATAAGAAAGAATTAAATGTAAATGCAAGAGAAAAAAGAGATATGAATGCCTTTAATGTGCTCATCAGTGGACTTGATACAGCTAAGAAATCAGCGAACTTGATAGATCAATAGAAATTATACAAACTGAAATGCAAAGAGGAAATAAAGAGTAAAAAACCCCAAGACATCCAAGATCTTTGGGACACTATTAAACAGTGTAATATATGTGTAGTTAGAGTATCAGAAGGGGAATGGGGAAGAACAAATATTTGAAGAAATAATTGCCAAAATCTTCCAAAATTAGTGATGGAAACCAAACCATAGAACCAAGTATCTCAGATAACACCAAGCAGGGTAAATAAAATTGTTAAAAGAATCACATATCAAATTCAAACTGCAGAAAATCAGGCAAAAATAAAATACTGAAGGCAGCAAGGAAAAAGGGGTGGGGGGGATATCTTAAAACTGAAAAGTACAATAACAAAAAAACCCTCACTGAATGGATTCAATGACAGAAGAGAAATGATAGAGAAAGGAGTCAGTAAACTCAAAGATCCATTAATAGGAATCATCTAATATGAACAGAGAAATAAAATATTGAAAAAAAGAAGAGATTCATGGGCCTGTGTAGAAAAAAAAGACTAATGTTCATGTTACTGGTGTTCCAGATGGAGAGGAGAAAGAGAAGGGCCTATAAAAGTATTTGAGAAATTATGACCGAAAGATTCCAAAGTTAATGAAAAATATAAACTCGGAGATTCAAGAGGCTGAGTAAACCCTAAATAGGATAAAACCATAAAATCCATTCAGACACAAAATAATCAAATTGCTAAAAACCATGAAAAAGTAATCTTGAAGGTAAATGGAGAAAAATGACACATTATTATAAGGGAACAATAATAATTCAAACGACAGCAGATTTGTTAGTACAAACCATAAAGGCCAAAACAAAGTGGCACAAAATTTTTTAAGTACTGAAATAAAAGAGTTGTCAACCTAGAACTCTATATCCAGCTAAAATATCCATTATCCAAGACCGTGAAATAAAAACTTTCTCAGTGAAGAAAAACTAAGAATTCATAGCTGTCAGACCTTCACTAAGAGAAATGCTAAAAGATTTCTTCAGATAGGAAAGAAATGATACCAGAACAAAGCTAAGAATGCCGGGAATGAAGGAAGTGCAACAGAAATGGTAATTATCTGGGTAAATATAATAGGTTTTTCTGCATTTTTGAGTCATTTAGAACATGCTGGATCCTAGAAAGCAAAAAATAGAACATTGTATAACATTGTAAGATGACAAAATTCAACATCCATTCCTGATGAAAACTCTCAGCAAACTAAGAATATAAGGGAACTTCTTCAACCAGATAAAATATATTTTCAAAAAGGAAAAACTCCTACAGTTAACATATTTTATTTTGATAGACTGAATGATTTCCTAATATCAGGAACAAGGCAAGGATGTCCACTCTCACCATTCCTATTCAACATAGTACTGGAACTCCTAGTCAATATTGTAAGAGGAAAAAAAGGAAATAAAATGCATATGGATTGCAAGGGAAGAAATCAAACTGTTCCTGTTCACAGACAACATGATTGTCTAAGTACAAAATCCCAGGAAATCTACAAAATTCCTCCTAGAACTAATGAGTGCATTTATCAAATTTAAAGGAGACAATGTCAACACACACAAGACAATCATATTTCTATAAACAAGCAATGAACAATTCAAAACTAAAATAAAAAGTAAACATTTATAATAGTTCTAAAAAGATAAAACATTTAGGTATAATACTAAAAACAAACCTGTATAAGATCTATATGCTGAAAACTAGAAAATTCTGCTGAAAGAAATCAGAGAACTAAATATACTGTGTCCATGGACTGGAAGACTAAACATAGTAAATACACTCATTCTCTCCAAGTGGATCTATAGATTAAACACAATACCAATAAAAACATCTCATCAGGATTTTTTGAAGATAAAGACAAGCTGATTCTAAAATTAATACAGGAGGGCAAAGGAACTAAAGTGGCTAAAATAATTGGCAACATAAAAACATTTTGGAGGAAATTCCCTACCCGATACTATAAAGCTACAGTACAGTAGTCCTCCCTTATCTGTGGTTTTGCTATTTGTGGTTTCAGTTCCTTGAAGTCAACTGTGGTCCAGAAATATTTAATGGAAAATTCAAGAAATAGTTCTGGCCAGTGTTTCTCAGTGGTTAGAGCATCGCCCGCACACCGAAGGGTCTTGGGTTCAATTCCCTGTCAAGGGCACATACATGGGTTTCAGGTTTGATACCCACCCCAGTTGGGACACATGTGGGAGGCAATCAATAGATGTGTCTCTCTCACATCAATGTTTTTCTCTCTTGTCCCTCCCTCTCCCTTCCACTCTCTCTGAAAAGCAATGGGAAAAATATCCTTGGGTGAGGATTAACAAAAAAAG